CACCGGCAGATGGGAGAGCACCGGGAGCTGGGAGAGCACCGGGAGATGGGAGAGCACCGGGAGCTGGGAGCACACCGGGAGATGGGAGAGCACCGGGAGCTGGGAGAGCACCGGGGGCTGGGAGAGCACCGGGAGCTGGGAGAGCACCGGGAGCTGGGAGCACACCGGGAGCTGGGGACGCACCGGGAGCTGGGAGCGCACCGGGAACTGGGAGAGAACCGGGAACTGGGAGTGCACCGGGAGCTGGGAGAGCACCGGGAGCTGGGAGAGCACCGGGAACTGGGGGCGCACCGGGAGCTGGGAGAGTACCGGCACCGGGGGGCGCACCGGCAAGTGGGAGCGCACCGGCAAGTGGGAGCGCACCGGCACCGGGGGCGCATCGGCAGCTGGGGGCGCATCGGCAGCTGGGAGCGCACCGGGAGCTGGGAGAGCACCGGCACCGGGGAGCGCAGGCCGCGCTGTCCCAGGAGGGGCACAGGGGCTTCGGGAACAAGCGTCTGCTGCACAAAGAGAATTGCCAGGCTGGGGAGGGGGGCATCACACCTGTTCCCACCTGCTTGGTTTAAAACAAACACAAACACACAGGGCTTCTCTTCTGATGCATGCTTGGACTTGGACGTAGATTAGACATGTTCGCAGCTAAGAAAATGTATTTACAATTCCTCCCCTCGCTCACAAGTGGCCATAAGTATAAGAGAGGGGGAATGAAGGTTCAGAGGCACAGAGGGTCATTCTCTTACAGCRTAGAGCAGTGTATTGTTTTTGTATCAGCAATAATCTGGAGCAAACACACCAGCCTCACAATTGATTGGCATTTGGATGAAAGCATAGCAAGAGTTCTGTAGGCACAGTTCAGGAGATGAAAGTATATATTTAGAGGAAAGGAACACTTATCTCTGTGTTTTCAAACAAAGGTTCCCAGGTTTCATAAGTAACCCAAGCTCCTGGTCAAATAGCAGAAGTGAAAGTTTGTGTTTTAAGTAAGGAGGGGAAAAAAAACTCAACAGAAGGATTTCAGCATTTGGTAGTGAGGGCTCGTTTTGAGACAGCACAGAAAGTACTGACAGGCTCTGCAGTCCCTGACAAAAAGTGATGTTACTTACAAGGTACACTAGTTCCAATAGCAAAATACTGTGACAGAGGCTGGAGTTTCAGCCTGGACTTTCACCCACAGCCTTTACCTTGCTCTCTTCACAAAGTTCTCTGATGGCCTCAGCTGCCTTTTGCTCTCTTGGCTTGATAGTGCTCAGCCTTCAGATGCAGGGGCTCTGCTCTCCACAGGGCACACGAGGGCTCACCAGTAACTCTAAATTTACTAAAATTTCTGCTAGAAAGGAGGACAGGAATGACTCATTTTCACAGCCCTGTATACACGAATGCTTCCTTCAAGTTGGGTAACACCCAACACCCATTGCCTAAACACTGATYTGTGCATGAATGCAAAAACATTTTCAGAAGGGAACTGGTTTCAGGCCTTATCATATATACTGTTCATACAAGCTTGGAGTAAAACAATTTTTGCACACAGGCRCATGCAAAAGGTAGTCAACGTGGTCCCCTTTGGGAAGGGCAYTGCACAGTGATAAAGCCCTGCCCCAACTGCAGGGAGAGATGACCAGTTCGTGTTTTGGAGAGAGAAAGGATGGACAGCAACTAGCTGTCCCCCAYCCACCTTTAACTCAGAGGTGCTTAGGCAGAGATATCTCTTGTATTCTAGCAAAAACAGAGGAAAAAAAAAAAGAAAACAAGTAACAAGAAGAACCCCATTTTGAAAATGAGAAACATAYCTATGTAGCCTAAATCTCAGCATTCTTGAAGAAATCACTTTTTTACTTGCAGAAAACAAAAGTGGTAATAACAAAGACAAAAAATTATGAGAATGAGAAAAGCCTTATTGCAGGATCATATAGACAGCTTTCATGATGGATTGCTATTTTAGATTTTGAATGTAGCTTTTGCGGAAGTCATATATCTTAAGCCACAAATATGTTTTAGGATTAAAGAAGAGATTATCTGAACTGAGGTTGTTGTTCARTAGACAGACAGATATTGGACACAAGATAATGTTAGCAGCAACCACACAATTTCTTCTGTGTGTTTAATCAAAGCATTTCTGTGTCACTCAACCTTTTCTTGGGATCATTTCTGTACTTGAACTGCTGTTGAAAATCTTAGATAGGTTAAGAGCTTGATTGCCAATGATCTATTTCATTAGTTAACCTAAATAATACAGTAATTGTTGTAGAGATGTATGGGCCAATATTCAGTCCCCAAATCTGGGGGATTAAATTTGCTGGGACTAATTTACTATATTCAGTGTAAAATGGAGTCAGACTGGGTGAGAGGGCAGAGGGGAGAAGCCTGTGCACAGGAGGCAAGAAGGTCACTGGAAATTGCTGAACTGCAATCAAAGGAGTTGCATGTTTCTGTGTGTGCTCTGTGCAATACATGAGCCTTCCTGCAACTGCAGGGAACAGCCAGAACTTTACAGCTTTACAGGGTAGTCCATGGGTTACTTTTAAATCAACAGCATTTTTTGAGTTCAATGAARGAAGCACTATGTTGTAGTTACGACAATATCACAGCATGTTCAGCTCAGTTCCCTTTTCCTGAAGCCAAGAATGTAATTTGATTTCTTGAAAACCAGAAAAAAAAATATTTTCTTTGGTAAAACATGCAACAAACAGTCCTACTAGCTGATCATTAGATTCATACCTCTGTGTTCTCATTCAAGGCTACTGCCACTGAGGTCTGCAAACAAAGGTCTCTCAGCCTGCTGAGCCAGCTCCTTTACAGCTCAYCAGTTTCCCCCTCTCCACCGTGGCTTCTCTAGCCCAGGCATCAGAACCACTGGGTCTCCAGGCTACRTGAGTGTTGATGGCCTTCATAGAAAGTTGTCTGCCTCAATCTCTAAAATGAAAGCATCAACAAGCAGGSTCCAGAGATGTCAAAGGATCCACAACCTGTGGAAGAGTAAACCTGATGCTTAAGTTTTTGCAAGACAGAGGAGTTRTAGTACAGAGCTTTTTAGCTCAGGGTTTTAAATGACCCTTCTAACTTCTGAGGAGAAGCTGGAAGTGCAGCCTGAATTTGAACCTCCTTTGGACGTTTATCAAAGGGTCTTAATTTGGACCGGGTTCATCAAMGAATCTGAAAAGCTGAACATCTATGATCAAGAACAGGGCTCCAAAGTCAAAAGGAGGGTTTTGTTTGTTTCATATTCCCYGGCAGCTTTCTGCCTTGTGGAGACACAATGAACAAAAACTTAACTAGTGATTTTCCATGTCATCTCCCCCTGGCAAGTGCCTAGCTTGCTCTGCCAAGAGCCAATGACCACATTTCATCCAGTAGTCACCTACAAGTACAGCACCACTAACCACTGGTCTTCAAACATTCTTTATCCTAAAGTAAACTCATTATTTCTCTTTATCTGCAGGTGTCTAATCTTCATTGTATGTAGGACCAAAGTCCTCTGAGCATTACTGCTGTGCTGCTGTGCACTGGCAGGCAGGAGAGGAGAACAGCTCACCCCAGCTCCTGCCAGGCTCACTGCTATGCTCCTGCTGAAGCCAACRTGCACTTTTGTTAAAGATGCAACTGTGGTTGTCCTCAATGTAACAGTCTGCACCAGCAATTAAATAAAAGTAAAATTTATTTGGTATAAGACAGAAAAATAAGAAGAACAAAATCACTTACAAAATAAATGTTAAGCAAAAAAATTCACAGAACTAGATTAATATTTTATAAAAAGCTCAAACTTTAAGCAACTGACAAAAATATTACTTTCTGCTCAGCCTGTTTTATGTTTCCCTCTCTTGTGTGGCTTTTGAAGTCCAAATYCAGATGTCTTCCCCTGCATGCAATAGTTTACACTAAGGAATATTCATCACAAACTGTGTTTCAAAATGGAAACATACATGAAAGGTTACCCCCTTTTTCAAGACATGCGGTTTCCATTTTCTCTTTTTCAGAGCGTACCTACCTGCTGCATACTCACTGAGACCATACACGTGCCCTGCTTCTGCCTCAGTTACTCCAATACTCCCCTCCTTGTCAATGCTCCAGTTAAGGTTTTAACTGATGGTCCAAGCACATCCATCTTACAGGCTACAAGATTACCATTTTCATCCAATTTACATGAAGAACCATTCCATGAATTTGCACTTAATGTGCTCCTGGGTATCTTAGGTGAGATTCTCCTTATTTTCTGGCGAATACTGTTTGAAAGATTAAAGCTCACACAATCTGCGTTATACTGAGTCAATGTACCGCTGTAGCAGGTTGTTTGCACAYAACTCTGAGACAAAGGTGCTCACACCACTGCAATGTGGAACAACAAGCATGCACATTTTATACCGTAATTTTTACTCCAGTACTGGTAAAAAACAATTGGCTGAATGTTGTTATTTCMTTGAGCAATCTTCTCTTTTCCAGCATCCCATGGCCAAGGGGCCCTTTTTAAGTCCCTCAGCATTTGACATTCTGGGTGAAATAATCTCAGTTTGATCATTCAACTCCATTCTTTAGTTCCAAGGCAAAAAGTACCCTTTCTATTTCCATACTTCTGTACAGAAAATTGTTGTATTACAATACATGTGATGCATGATAGGAATTTAGCTCCTTTATCCTCTGCTCCAAGACAGACCTACAAGTGTCATGTAAATAGTTGATGCTGCAAGAAGAAACTACCGCCCAGTTTTTTAAGTGACAATGTAAGGAACTTCTTTCACAGTTCTGTTTTGCAGAAAAAAAAAAAAATCTTATGATTCTTTTGGTGTTGGGAAATGCCAGCTTTTAAACAAGAACTTTGCAACCTTATTTATTTCATTTACAGAAATATTTACTTCCTGAATCACAAACTGAGTTTCCTTTMACAACTCTGAACATTCATCACTGTGACCTCTTCTCCCAGTGGCTAATGCAGAGTTACAACAAACATAACATGTGCTTTTCTTCCAAAAATATAAAGGAGGAATTATTTTTACATGGTACGAAAGTTACTCTCATTTTATTTATGGAGTTGAATTAAACAAAAATGAACATCCACGGCTGTTTTCACACAATGTGAGCCTTAGTGGTAATGTAAGAAGACAGCATGAGGTGTAAAGGTTTATAATACAATGCCATGGAAACAAACCCAGCAAATCTTATATGCAAGCAGTGATTAAAATTTAGTTCAGTAACCTATTGAACCACACTGAAGTCAGCTGGAYTGTGTGAGCAGCAGCGTCACACACTGGTTTGGGGACAGGTTTAAATTTTCAGTGTGATATCAGCAATTGATTGTGAAGCCAACCAGTCCACCTGGTTGTGCAGACTGAGCACATAACAACAGCAGGGTTTGGCTCAAACACTGTAAAATGCTACTGTCGGCACTATTTATGTTAGTACCTGGAAGAGCAACTTCTATTAATTTTTCTATTGAGACATAGAAAAGTTGACTAAAAAAGTCATAAGGCACCATTGATTCAATCTGGTTTGTATTATGCTTTTTAACACTTCATAGTGAAATAAATACTTTAATACTGATCATACTGTGAATAGCTACTGTTACATGAAGCAATATATTGAATGATAAAATGCTGCATTGTTCTGGAATATATCTAGGGATATATTCCAGCATAACATATAAATGGAAACGTTATGTGAACAAAAATGCCTCTTTCTGCAGTGTTAAGCTATTTTACATGTATGCCAAACGTCCATTCTGAAGACGTTTCTAGAGGAAAAAAGAATTGCTAAAACCTAAGCAGCTCAGGATTCTTGGCTTGTTAACTAGGAGCCTTTTATACAGCACATTTTGAATGAAACTGAAGCTGGTTTTCCAAGTCTTTGGTAGTGGTCCAGATTTCTGGTCAGAAAACCTTGCTGAAAAGATCAAATACAAGATATTTTGAGTGATACAGAGAGTTGTCAGGACATTGGGCAGCATTTTAATTGACTTACAAAACAGTCATGTTGGAAGCAGGTAAATTACAAAAAACATGTATTTTCTGTAGGGTTGGGGTGTTTTTTTGGCTGCATAGCTATATGGATATTAACAAGGATTTGGCAGGTCAAGGTACTGAAAATATTGTATTTTTAAATTCAAAACATTGTTCCTTAGAAAGTTATTAAGTGCTTCAGTTTTAAAATATGAATACAATAATTTATCTTTTAAGTTATTATCTTAAAAATCTTATTTGGACTTCTATTCACACAGTAATATCCCAAAGAGACAGGCACTTTAAGTGACATCCATAAAATACATATAACAAATTCAGCATTGTGCTAGGTTTGATCCCAAGGTGCACCTGTCACATGGAGGTCCCACCAGTATCTGTTTAAGAAACTCTTACAGCCACGATCCTGCAACTGGATGCAGATACATCCCCGCGCCTGCGCATTTCATTGCAGGTTCAAGACCATAAACAGTAACTTAAAATAGGTCATYAGATATAAAAATGTAAAAAACAGGTACATAATGAAATGCTATCACAGCTGGCAAGATTTTGTAAACAAACACTGAAAAGACCAAATTAAATGGCCAAATCCAACTCTAGTCTCATCCCCTTCAATGTGATGTCCAGGCTGTCAGGCAGACAGGGGATCTRCCCCTCCTCGCTCACAGAGCAAAAAGCCCTATGCACAGACATTTCAGTGGGGTCCAGACTCTCTTTGGCTAAATTCCCTAGGTTTTCAAGGACTSACCTCATTCTAGCCACAGAGTGTGCTTAGGATCATGTCTTCCATGCTAGAGAAACATTTTCTTAACCTACATGCCTAGTTTTGATGTTTTGTTTCAGTTTTTTTTTAACAACACTCCGTGAAGCATGACTGCTGACACAGGCTTGGTAGGGATCCCAAGGAGAACGCTGAAGAAAACATACTGCTGATGAGACTGAGGGGAAATTTTTCAGAGCCATACTTTAGAGGTCCAATTAACAAAGAGCTATCATTCACCAATATTTCAAATCCAGAATTATAATCTTCCTCTAATTTCCAAAGGCACTTTATACGCACTCAGATCCACTTGTAACATTCACTCAAACAATGAGCTCTTTTCTTATATACAAAATTCAAAAGCCATTAAACATATTAACCACTTGTCACAATGTTAGAATACTCTTTCTTCTACTAATATAAGCCTTGCAGCTCTCTGCAGAGACTCCTTTCAGCAAAGTTTTAAAGGACTGGCTTCATGGTAAACTCTGAAGACCAAATTATTCCATTTCTCTTGAACCACTGCAGACAGCAAATTTTGGATGCTCCCATCTGAATGCACAAACCCTGGACCCCTTTCACAACATCAAAGGGCTTTCACTTAGGAACAATTTTTACTTCAGTTGCTCCCCCATAATGCAAGTCAAACACAATCTCTCTGAGACTTGTGACCTAAATGCCAAGAAGCTTTTTAAGTCACACCCCATCATTTAGTTGTACCAAAGAAACAACTGAAAAGCAGTCTGTGGAGCACTGGCATTAGTGATGCTYTACAGGAGGAGCCTGCAATTACAGTAATTGCTGTATTTGCACCCAGACTACTTTCTGAGGACTCTTCGCATGCAGTATCAGGCAGAGGGCATTACAGCAATCCAGAGCAYGGATGACATGATGTGAGTTGGTCCRCATAAGAGTAGGAATGAATTAGGTCACAGAACGCATAACACTATWTAAAAAATAGGAAAGAGGGATAAAAAAATATATCTTTTTATGCTGAAGAATTCTTCACTTGTGCTTTTCTTTGGAAGATTCTCTGCAGATAAAAACAAGGCCAGAGACACTCCATCCTTGAGGCACGATGTCCTGTGTGTTGTTTAAAWTTTGTTTGACTAAGATGAAGTGAAAAAGTTAAAGATGAATTCTTTGTCACCATGTAGTAGGTCCATGGCTTGCAGAAGTGGATGGGCTGAGTTAGGCATGCTAAGAAGGGTCCAGGGGACTCATGGCTACACTTTTTACCCAGCAACTGTTTTTTAAAACATCAAAAACTTTATCATTAAAATAATACAGCTACTGTACCCAAAGTAAATGAAACAGGTTTGTTCAAGCTCTATCAAATTCAAAGCCAGACCTCCCGTGGAGCTCTCCAGGGGACAGGGCTGGACATGGTAAGCATGATGCACGTATGCTGTGTATGGTCCACAAAATGCCTGCAGTATAAGCAAATAAAATTCATAGCTTTGAGCAAATATAGTCCATAAGCCACATCTACTACTTCTGTAATAGAGACTGAAGTTTGTTCCAGCTGACAAGCCAAAAGTGGAAATCAGTCAAGACAGACAACTTTCCAGTCATGTCAACAGGAGAGCTGACTTGAAGGAAACTTGAGAACAGATGTCACCCAAAGATTGGCCAGAACCATTTCACCTTGGTATAGGTGGGAGCGGAGGGGCACCTCTTTCTTTTCGGACTGACCCACCTAAAAGAGAAAGAAAGGTTTTATGGTTGCTCTTCCTGGAATATTCCTTCCTTTGAAGGGGGAGTTTACATCCAAGCAATTAATTCAGTAACTGGTGAAGATCTACCAGTTTGATACTGGGCCATTAAMAAAAATGAATCTTTGTAGATTTTCTGGTTAGTTTATTAAACAACATCAGAACTTCAAACACTATAAAATAAAGTTTTCAACTAATGCTATCCCTAAACACAYGTATTTTTGTCTCCTATCCCCTTCCCAAAACAGACTGACAGTTCTTGTCAGCCCAACTAATTTATGTGAATACACACCTTCTCAGTGCTACTTGCAGTACACACAAATCTCAATGAAAAGTGGCAAGCTCGAAACACAGTAAAATTTCAAAGCTCTTACTCTTTTTCCCTATATGAAGATTTTTCAAAGCAAACTCATAAAAGGAACATAAAAAAATGCTWGTGTTATTTTGCCTTCCTTTGTGGACTAAACAAAGGGGATGAAAGCTACCAGGCCAAAGTAAAGGGTCAGACACTAAAAGGAATGTCTGCTTCAAATCAAAACTTCATCATCTGGGAACAGGTGAGAAACATCTGAGTGTACAGATGATTACAGGATAACTATGACCCATCAATGTCACTGGACGTAAAAGAAAAAATTGATCTATGGGTGTATCAGGCAAAATACCACTAATGAAGGTAGGAAACATTTGTGCTGTAGAAGACATGTTTGAAACCTGAACTGGAACAGCATGCYACACTGATTGGAAAACACTAAATCAGACTGAAATGTATACCTAAGCTCTGATGATCGGAGAACATGGCTTGGAAGTAGAGTGCAGTACATCTGGATTTAATCAGCCCAGCAAAACAAAAACAGAGAGGAGGATATGWCTGCTCCCTTAAAAAACATTAGGGGTTTAACACACAAGAAGAGAGAAAAACTAAACTCAAGGATGATGCTGGCACAAGAATAAATGAGTTGTGTACAAGTTTAGATGGAAAATGAGGAGAAAGTACTCAGGGATTTTGTGGCTCTGCCTTCCTGGAGCAGAAAGGCAGACTATAATGGCAGAGCTGCTCACTKACAGGACATGTTTCAACTTAAAAACCAAACAATTCCCCACTCAAATACAAGTTTAAGAGGGCTTGTACCTGCTAACCTGTGGTGAGGATAGACAACCAGACTGTTAGTATGAAAAGTTTGGAAACCTCAGCACCTCYTCCCCATCCACACTTTTTAGGACAATACACTGAAATTCCAACTTACCTCTACTTTCATTTCTTGCTAGTTTACTGGGATAACTTCTGTTCATGGGTACATATGGCTCTGGAGGTGGCAAATCAGATATAGGATGAAATGAAAATCTGCTTTCCCATTCATCTGAAAAAAAATAAACGCAATTTACTCATTAGTTTTCTGACATAGCTTAGGAAAGTAAATTGACAGTAACATTATGTTTAATGCATATTTTATATTGAAAAGTGCTAACACAGGTGACTGAACCTGCATTCTCTCAGGAAATCAGGGAAGATGATGCTTTAGGTGAGTTTGGGATTGAAAATTTTTATTAACTTTGATGGGTGACTTTGCCAATTTAATGCAAAATCACTGATCAGGAAGACAGCCATTATTGCACTAAAATAAGTCTTACTCTCCCTTCCACGTATAACAGATCTGCTTTTTTTAACACACACACACACACATACACATATATGTGCCACCGGAACTGCAGTTTCTCCTAATTTTGTTCCTGGTATAGTATTTCCTGTTATTCACATGTCATTCATATACAGAGCTCAAAAGCATCATTAAAAGCACACTCCTATAAGCCCTGTTTTTTCTCTCTTAATATTTTTACTGGAAGAAGAAAATTTGGGGGCATTGTGCTAAAATTTATGACAGAGAATCCTGTGTATAACTAGTGTCAAAAAAGGAAAAATACGTCACTTGAAGATATATCTCTTTAGACAACTAGGGGCCCTGTTGCTGTACGTACTGAGTGTTGCTGTACGTATAAGGTTTCTAAAGACTAAAGCAAGCTAACCAGTATCTCCATTGAAATAATAGGAAATGTTCCAAGAGCTCTGTTCTGCACTTGAATTTGAAAACCTACAAAGAAGAAAGCGTGGGCTAACTTAAACTTTGTCATTTCTTCACTTGCTTGCTTCAGGACTTTGCACCCATAACTTTCTTGCAATATTGTTATATTTTACTGCATCATGTAACATCAGGAATGTAATATACTGCATAATGCAATACAAAGCTGAGTAAGTTCTACCTGCTGTTTGTAGCTGTGGTTATTTGCTGGGATCCAGTTTTTCTATGTTTACTCCCAACAGCTGCAACCAGAAACTATTGTGTAAAGGAGCTGCACATTCTGAACCTTGCAAATACCTTGTGGAGGMAAAAATATGTGATCCTTCTGCCTTATCTGATGTGTGAAGATGTTTCAAAAGTACGAGCTATAGCTTCATTTTCTGTTTGCTTTTTCTAACCTTATAAATGTCAGAAATACCAATTTTGGCCTCCTGTAATTAACTGAAGGATTTATCTGTTCTATGCAAATAGAAAACAATTAAAAAGAAAGCATGAWGAATCTTTAAAACACAGCAATCTTGGACCTCACCTTTTCAATAAACATTATCAGAAATAGATACTTGACATTTTCAGCAATCTCTTCCCTCATCTGTTTTTCAGCTTTCAGCTTTTGAGTCATCTAACTTGTTCCGACTTCYAAAGTGTCAGTGTAGCTGTGGTTTGAATTCATATTAGAGTTGAAACAATCCCCTTCCTTTTTTCAGGGTATTTTTCAAAGGGTTATTCTGGAAACTGTATTTTGACTTTGCARTTCTGCTCTATGTATGGCATCCTTACGCTGTTCTTACTTGCCAGGGTTAAATGAGACACAAGTGACACCTGCGCTGGTCAGAAATCAAAGGTTGCCACTAGAAACAAAGTTTCCATCCTAAACCTTTTTTTAAGAATTAAGGCCAAAAGCCACTACACAGCGTCTGTGCAAGGCAAACAAGTGGAGRATGGCTCACCATCACCTGGATCCTGGAAGCCGTTTCTGACAGCTGCTGAAGGTGGTGGCGGTGGCGGCGGCGCTGCCGAGCCCGGCCGGTCCGGGGGAAGCGGAGGCCGTGCTCCACCTCGCTGGCTGTCCAGTCCTGCCCGGGAAGGCAGCTGGGGAGTGGCAGGCAAAGCCCTTGAAGTGCTTCCATTCCTGCTTATGGGAGGAGGTGGTGGCAGGGGGCCTGGAGCAAGGCAAGAGGCAAGCACACAAATGGTCAGCACCAGGGGTTACTCTGCCTGTGGAAAACTGCTGCATCCCAAGGCCTCCCGCTAACAAAACAGGCTGTTTCAGGACCCCTGGYCCCAAGGAGTAATGGCCCTCAGCACCCACTTCCCTGCTCTCCAGGGTGTTAGTGCTGATTCGGAGAGTACAGCTCAGAGGAGCAAGATGTATCTGAACATAAATACAATGCAGTGTCCACTTTTCCATTCCCCTCAGCTGCAGAGGCCTCTTGTAAAGGTGCTGGTCCTTGAAGCTACTTTTAAACCACTCTAGGTTAACAGTGGCCACAACAAGCAGAAGCCACAGCTGGAACCCAGGGTWCTGTGGAGGTCCAAACTGTAATGCATCTCCTTTCAATGTACCATTGTAAGGCAAGAGGATGTGTAGCAGAAGACAACTGCTACCCTCAGAGGCTCTTTGCCCATAGGGGTGGTCCCCTCTGAGTGTCATAGCCAGGGTCTGTGGTGGCACACAGGGGAACTCAGTGCAGCAGCAGGCTGCATTAAGCAGCAGCCCATCAGCTCACTCTTTTAGAAACAAACGAGCTGCATGACAGGTTTCTTAGCAGTTGGAGAATATACATCTCACTCTAAACTGGAAACAGACYTCACACATAGACCAGCATTTCCAGTGTTTATGTATCTGAGTAAATGGCATGATGACATGACAGGTCAAATACGAAGACACAGCCCACATAATAAAGACCCAGGGCTGTCCTAAGGGCAGGGGAAGGGTGCTTCTACAAGAAAAGTAAATAAAGACAGGAAAGTTACTGCTGCCAGGGAGAGAAGAACCCATGGTTAGGACACAACAAGGTGAAGCAGAGGGTGTGGAGGGTTATGCRTGTTCAGTTCAGAAGTCTCCCTACCTCTGTTTGGCACAGTTGGGCARCTGACAATTATGTTAATTTTCAATAAATACTTCCCTGTCCTGATGAAATCTATCTACAGACATGCATTTTGAAAGAGAGAGCAGCAGATATTGTGTCTTCAGCGACAAGCATTCAAACCTGTTTCAAGTAACATGCTGTACTTGGTGTATTTTTGCCCCCTTTCTTATTTTACAAATTACAAAAGTTTGCCTTCGGGGAATGGTCTCAAAGACTGAGAAGCATTCAGCAATTTTTAGAATGGGTTTACTTGCTCTCTCTAAACGCAGCTAAACTCCATTGTCTATATTGAACTTCTGCAGAATAGGTGTATTTATGTTTAGAATGTATTGCTACAAGTTCCYTCTACTTATAAAGCCAGAAGAAAGTGCAGGTTTGCTAAAACCATCGGCCTCAGAMGAGTCAACTAGGAAAGCATCGGTGGAAGCCAAGCCTACCACAAAACAAACTCTTGGAAGTGACTGAGTAATTGCAGACACTCTGCAACTTTGATCCTGCAGTCAGTTATAATGGGATTTCTCTGATTTATTTACTGCAGGTTGCACTAGCATTGTGCCATCCTCTGGGCTGGCACCCAGCTCCACATAGCACAGTTTCAGGGTCAGTATTTTCTGTAGCTGCACAGCTGCTGCAGGTGCTGGAGACCCAAGCTAGTTCTAGGWGCTCAAAAGCAACAGAGATGGCTGTGGGAACTCCCATGACATTAATTTCTTTGTCTAGGGCTGGGTGGGTTTGAGATGATTTCTGAGTTTTATTCCGAAGGAGGAAMTGAAAGGTAACTTTATCAAGCTTCCCAGCATTATCTTCTATGCAATGCTTTTGGTCTCCTGATGTTACAGTGCTCGATTGTGCCTAAATTCTCTCATCTCCAAAGGGACAACCACCAGGTATTAAGAGAGCTATGTGAYGTGCAGTTCTTAAATTATGAACAATAGTTTTCAGAGAGGATGAAGTATATTATGAAATAACTCAAGGGAAACAATTCTACTTTTAGTCTAATTTGATATCTACATACGGTAAGTAACAACACTTAGTCATGCTGTAACAACTGCTATTACATTTAACAGCTGTTGRCTAGGTCTTTTATTAAAGCATTTGTATTTGACTGTGTTCGTGTCTCCCAACACGTAAGTTAGGTTCCACAAACCTCCATTCCCAAGAACGCCACCATTAATTCATGCTGGTTGACTCAGGAAGTCAGATGCTGTCACTTTACCAGAAACTTCTTTGCATTAAAGAACRTAATTGGGAAATCCCATTTGCAACCCTTTTCAATTACAGAGATTATAACGAAAGTTACCAAGATCTTCAAAAGTACATGTGAGTACACTAGTGATGCACTGTGACTTTCCTTACGCCACCGCGATGCCCATAAACCCTCACTTCCAGCTGCAGAATCCCTAGTGCCTAACAGGGATGCATTTGTTGCCCATGTGAAACTGGTGCATGCCGAAGCACCGCCGGCCGTGCCCCCGTCCCCGCACCCTACCTGAGCGGCCGGGCGGGTCTCTGACGGGCGGCGGCGGCCTCTCGCCGGGCGGTGGGGGCAGCGGTCCGGAGCGGCCGGGGCTGGGTGCGGGGCATGAGCCCAGCGAGATGTTCCTCTGCGGCAGCCG